CTCATTGCAATAAGAAATATCGTTAGGCGTAGGAAAATAATACCATAATTTTCGTTTAAAAAGTTTTAAGCCTCAATATGAAGACGTTACTCATCAAAACCATTCTAGAACTATAATCATACATGCTTTGAAAGATATCTGTGAAAATTGTAGCCATTTTGGACGCTCAGTTGTTATTTGACAGCCATTTGTTCAAGTCAATATTAGTGTTTATAAAAATGGAAAAAATCAAATATCATGCCGTGATTAATATCCGTATTCATAGTCAGATCTTATATTTAAGGCTTCCTTAAATTTATATTCAGATATTGTATGAATTATTTCATTGGCTGCTGAGCATCTAAAGATAAATTTAAGGCAGCCTTAAGTACAAGGTCTGACTATGAATACGGGCATACGTTCTTGCATTTGAAAGGCAACATACGTCTGCACAAATTAAAGTCAAGTTGGACGCTGTTTACGAGAACTTTGTCCCATCATTTGCCATTGTGAAAAGATGGACAACTGAATTTAAACATGATCGTAATTTAACTGATGATGAGTGTTCGGGACGGTCAACAACTGTGTTAAAGGGGAGGGAGCACTGGGAAGTAAAAAGAGACTGTGTTGAAAAATAAAATTGAATTTGAAAAATACTTCTTTCTATGTTAGACTCAAAACTTTTCAAACGACTCTCGTAAAAACGCTAAAATAATAAAAGTTTGTATCAATTAAAATTAGATGATTGTCAAGTTAATTAATTTTTCTGGATCATTTCATACATATACAATTTATTTTTCATCTTTACAAGCTAATCTTTGTACATATATTTAACGCATATAATAATATTAGGTTGATGTAAAAATAATGTTGGTTTTTAAACTTTGAGACCTTATGTGGTGTACATACACACACACATATGCGCGCGCGCCACACGCACACATTCTGTAATAAGGATATATATTCGATTGTGCTGATGTTGCACCATTTTTAAGCGTAGATTCCGCTCTATTATTGTGCTAGTAATTTTGTTTTCAATGTTGACTTTGTGATCAATTATTATCATTATTATTAAATATGAAAAAGAAGCAATTCCGAATTTTTTAAATACAAATTCAAACTAGGTTTTAAAACAGAGGAAATGAATCGAAGAATTAATATTCAGTCAGGAAGTGAACGGACGGTATGATTTCAAAAATTTCGTAACTGAGGTCTTGAACGACCTGCATTTATTGACAATGACTTTGAAGATTTTTAATTATTGAACCGAATTTATTAAAAACCACTCACAAGAGATTTACACAGGAACTAATTAATCAACAGTCTTTGATCAAGTAATAATTGTTGTTTGAATCGAATCAGTAAAGTAAAAAACCGACATTATTTTTGTATTAATCAAATATACATAATTAATATGTAAGTAATAGTGAGATAAAAAGAGATAAAAATAATTTTATACAGACCTCAAAAGCGCCTTGCATAGTCCCTTACATAATATGAGTCCCTTCGTCTCAACACTACGTTCGCGGTAACGGAATCGCTTAGTTCGAACTGCCTGATTATCCTGATGTGTATTTAAAAAAACCGATGAAAAGAAAAGAAAAAAAAAGCAGGTGTGTTCCTGATCAATCAGCGTGGTTACATTCTATTATCGACACGGCAATCTTGACGACAGGATTCAGGACTGCATTTGAACATTCCTACACTCTGTAGAATCTAGACGAGAGATAGATACATTCCAATGTTACACACTAAGGCCGATATTTTTGTTACGTCGTTACCATTAGCACGCATGTTTACAGAATAAGTATGTCTCTCATCATAGACTGTAAGACTAATTTAAGAAGCGTCTTTTTGTATCCGCCGCGGCTACAGGTTTTACTCGAAGCGGTAGAAAGTTTCGTTTTCAATGGGAATTGATCGCACATGGTGATTGCGAGATATATTTCTTCTCAGGCGAATCTCTTTAATCGTAATTAACGACAATTTTGGAACTATCACGCTTACCTGTCATTTGATTTTTTTCTTCGCATGTTGTATTGTAGATATATTTAGAGATGGTATATGTAAAATCTATAGATTGTCTCTTCAAAGAATATTCATCAAGATGTATTGTTATTTGGCTCGTTTTTGAATGTATTTATGGGATGAACATCTTTTTTTTGACGATTGTTTGACGTAATTTTGTGAGAGAAACATATCCAAAGCTGATTGTATGTTAAATCAAGTAATAATTTTATTATGAAAAATGTATGTACATATATGACATACAGTTTAAATGCATAAATTTTATGGAGAGGCAGTCTCGATATTTTCAAGAGAGAAGAATAGATAGCCATAGTCGTAGTTATTCATAATTCACAGTTTAAAACTTCATGAATGAGGCATAGACAAAACAATTTGCTTTACGATATTCCTTTACATGATTGCAGATAATTATTTTGTAACCACGTTGAAACATTGGTAGCTAATACCGTGCCTTTTAGTGTATATGAAATAATTATAAAGAATGCAAATAATAATAAAAAAAGAAGTACTGTGGCATTGTGGGTTTTACGAAACACCTATATTACTTATTTATGATTTTCAACTATAATGTAATAATATGTGTATTCATGTGTATATGTTATTTATTTTATAAAGAATTTTCTCTTTTGCAATTGTCGCTACTTTCTTTTCCAACACTATATTTCTGTAAAAATATAGTATGTTTCCAGTCCCTTTGTGTAATTTGCAACCTCAATAAAGAGGTTTGCTTTTTGTTAAGAGATTGCCGTTTTGTCGGTGAGTAACAATGTGTTTTTGAACAATAATTTTTCAGATTTAATAAGTTATTAAATCTAAAAATTATTGTTACAAAACATATTGTTATGAATAAGTAATCCCAAAAATATCAATTTTTAAAAATGTTTCCTTTGTCTAAAGTATATATCTTTTATTTTAAGTATGGATAATGAACACACAATGTGTACACTAGTTTTGCAACAAAGAACAAACAAGGAAGAAATGAGATCCTAAAGTTATTTGTTTGATCGATTCAGTAAGACCTATTTGTATCATTGACGTACTATTACACACAGCTACATCACTATGTATGTACACATTTTCTAATTTTGTTTTATACATAGTACAAAACTTTTATAAAGCAAATCTTGTTATGAGTTGATGTCAGAAATCGATAAAAAATTATAATTTTCCAACTTTTTCTCATTTTTATCATAAAGTGGACTAATGTGAACTAGCTTATTGTCGTTTACACTTCAACTGTGAAAAGGATTTTTAAATCAGTAAAACACAGACGACTTTAAGATCCTTTTAAGGCACTTAACTTGTATATTCACTACATAGAAAAATGTAAAAATTGTAATGGATAAGTGAGCATACTTTCAATTACGCCATGTGCTGTATTTTAATAGTATTATATATTATTTAATAATGCATCTTATTAAATGCCTTGAGAGAAAACTAGTAGTGATATGATGTACCTTTTACCTGACAATGTACAAATATATTTCTATAACTAACAGATATATGACACTGCAATGGTGTCATTAAATTACAATGTATATAACAAATAACAATATATTTTCATAAATTCCTGTATTTACATTCTGTTGCGTTCTCTTTGAAGTCGTTCACTATACGTTTTTGATACAAGATTAAATGAGTCCATGTATCGATCCATGCACATTGCTACACATTTCTGTAAACAAATCAATTAAATCAATTAAATTAGAAAACGAGGAATCAATTCAAATTACAATAACAAAATTAACTAAGAGGAGTTGATAAAAAAATCATCCTGTATAACACAAATCTAAAACGATTGTATAAGCATAGAATATCTTTCATTGAAATTTTAGTTAATTTAATAATAGTCCTAGAAAACCATGAGATTTAATAAACAGAAGGTTTATTACCTCGGGTGTTTCTGACGCAACTCTTCAAGGTTAGATTCAATGTTGAGCTGTCCAGCGAGGTGCCCGGCTTGCCTATACATTTTTTGAAGCATTTTTCCGTCATTTTCTGCAAATATGTGTAAAACCGTATAACTTTCAGTCAGTTGAGATGCGCTATCAAGAAAATGTTGTATAACGATACCGTGAGCAATTCCTGGGCATTAGCAACCGCTATTTGTTGCTTCACTTGTTGCATCAGCTCGTCCCGCTGCGAACCAGTCAAATTCCCCGTCGCTAATGAGTCCATTCTCTCAAAGTTTTCGGATTATATTTACGAGTGATAAAATCAAAGTTCGCAAAATTCAGTCTATTATCCGCGAGGGATCGATGTCACGAAATGCGTCTAACCTAACCTCGCCTCTCGCCGGTCGCGTAAACGAAACCACGTGAAACAATGTTGAAGTTCCGTTTACACGGAATTGTCATCTTTCACGAATTTTCAAAAGCGATTGGTAAACAGTCTCATAACTGGACAACCAATCACGAAATATTGCGCGAATATTGTACATCTGCCCTTATACTTGATTCGCCATCTTAAAAAATTCAAATGTTTTGAATAGTAGCGATAGTATCTAGAAAAGATTTGACTTTAATCGAGCAGGTATTTAGGCATTAAGGAGTTTTAAGAAGCGTTTAAAACTGCCGTAAAGAGCTGTAAAGAGCTGTAAATTAGAGCCGATAATAAAGAGAAGAAAAATGGCGAAGAAAGCGAAAACTAAGCTGAAAATTAAAAAGGTAATGATAAATACATGATTATATAACATCGTATCTTTAACCTGAGAGTGATCGCGTATCATTTTGCCGTACTCTTCCATTTTTTATTTATATCTTTCAATTTATTAGCACTATTATATCTTTTACGTAAATGTTTGTTAATTGTTTTTTCGTATAGTATGCGAAAATAGATGACGTAAACACGCTTATATCTACTTAAAATTTGACATGTTTGTAACAGTCGGTCTAAAAGACCGTAGCGCACGCACTTACGTTAGTCTTCTTTTTCTTCTTTTGTCGGCTCTCGCAGCCAGCCCAGCCGCAATCTGGCCATAAACTAGTTCGAAAATGCAGGTAAGAAATAAAAAAAAAACAATCCTGAAAAAGCTCGACAGCTTGACAAAAATTAGAGATGATGCAACACCCAAGCCGAGACGGAACACAATAATACGTAAACTCATGTTAGTGTAATTAGTGTTTGTAGTCTCATTTTTTTATTAATTATTACTTATAGTAATTATAATCATATATGTGCGAAAATATATTCAAAATGACCAGGACGCGCCTACTTTCCCGGGTTAACATATGCATTATTGTTATATTTGTTATTGATCAAATGTTAATCAATGATGCGCATCATGCGTATAAAACGGAAAGCACTTACGCGTTTATCTTTGTAGACATATAAGAAATTGGAAGATCAAATTCAAAGAAAGACGATAATGTTTCTTCGTAAATTACAAGAAATACTACAGGAATCTGGTGGTCAAAGTCGTGATTTAAATGAGTCAGGTGAGTTCAGGGAGCAATATATATGTAAATCACTCGTAAATGAATTAGTTTATCCATACGCACATAATATATAGAGACTATAATATTACTTAAATCTGTATTACATACGAAAATCTATATCATACAGCACAGAATTTGCAATATTGCTGCAATAACGTTGCAATATTACTGCAATATGCATTATTGCTGTAACTTTTGTGAAGGGGTATAATATACATATACGTATCTATTATAATATTTTCATATTTATATGATATTTTAAAAGAATCCTTAATGAAAAAATATTGCTGAGATTATTTCACGTTTTGGAATATTTTAGCGAAATGGCTGAAAATTTGCTGAAATTTCACTGAAAATAAATTTTTCAGCTAACTTACTGAAAATTGAAACATGCTGAAATCGAATAAAAAATTTTCTGAAATATTATTAAAATTTCTCTAAAATTTTTTGTTGAAATTTCTCAAAAATTTTACTGAAATTTTGTTAGAAATGAATTTTTTAGCTAAAAATTGCTGAAGTAATTTTTCTAAAATGCTGAAATTTGTTTCAAAACATGGAATAATTTCAGTGAAATTTTTCCATCAAGGATATGTTGTATATTATATTATTTACGTTATATTCTTTGTGGAGCTGACGTTAAAATCTGTAATACATTTACTGATGCTAGTCTGTATAGAGACCCATATTTAAGGATGTATGTATCACATTTCGAAGCATTATAAATATAAAAATTTTTATATGGGAATATATAAAAAATATCAAATTGTTTTAGTATTAATTATTTGAGTCAATACATTTGAGTCTATCAAATTTAAATCTATAAAATTTCAGCACATAAGTCTCTTATTAGTTTAAAAGTTATTTAATTTTTTGTTTGCCTTTTCGAGCATAATTGGTTGAACATTCCTTGTAGCTAAATTTTACTAACACTGATCAATTAATTATATATATGTATATATATATATATATATATATATATGTATTCTTAGATCTAATTGTATGATCTAAGATTTGATTTCATTATTTTAAACAAAAAAGAATTTAATCACCTATAATTTAACATTTCTTCTATTTGTTCAAAAC